GATAAAAAAAAAAAATAACAGGAATATGACATAGGATGGCAAGAAATTCATACAATTGACATTGATTGTAAAAAAAAAATTATAGTTTATTGTTAATCGGAAAAAATTATGGCACACATTGGTGGTGCTGTGGGGAAGTTGCGGTGGTGGTTGGAGTATGTGGGTGGTGGAGCAAATGGTTACCAGGTATCACGTAGGTGGGACTCGTGTCTCGATGTAAGTTTAGGAAACAACTTCACGCTTCGCCAAGAGGAGAGAGAGAGAGGGGGAGGGTAGTAGTTGTCTTTTTGCATGTGACCATGACACCATATTTTCCTCTACTAGTGTGTTTGGTTGTAAAATACGAAAAAAAAAAATTATGATGATTATTATTATTATTAAAATTTCTAATAAAATAGGTAAAATAATAATTAATTGTTAAATTATGGGTCAAAAACATAAATTTTAAAAAAATAAATAAATTTATATTATACACACACACACACACACACACACACACACATATATATATATATATATATATATTTTTGTTTCTTCTGGAGAGACGGCGAGACAGAGTGTGAGAGAGAGAAAAGTGAGTGTTTTTTTTTCCCCTCTTTTTTCTTAGATTTATGAAGATTGAACCGTTTAATCGTTTCGGGCTAAGAATTAAAGTTGTTTTACTCAGCAAGAGTTACGCAACCACACAAAATATCGTATTTTTCTCTGAAAGAATATCAAAGCCGATAATCTAGGCCTAAAATTTAGAAAACTAAATTTGGGCTTTCTTGGCGTTCTAGTAAGTGGGTTCACGCTACGAGAGGTAGGGTTTTTCCTATTTAGATTTAATTTCAACTTAAAATATGACATATGAAATAAATAGACTATGTGTGTATATCACATGGTAGGTCTTGACAAGTGTGACTAGTGGGTCAAATATAGGATTTATAATTAACCTTGCGATTAATAAAATTTTATTGTGATTAACTTGGTGTAAGTTAATGTTAGTGGTTTAAATCATGTTAATTGTATATTAACATTATTTTATATTTTAATGGCAGATCAAGTTTAATAAAAGTATTAACTTGTTATGTGATTATGAAATAATATGTATGTTAAAGGATTATTTAACATATAATTATTTTGGTNGAGTGTTTTTTTTCCCTCTTTTTTCTTAGATCTATGAAGATTGAACCGTTTAATCGTTTCGGGCTAAGAATTAAAGTTGCTCTACTCAGCGAGAGTTACGCAACCACACAAAATATCATATTTTTCTTTGAAAGAATATCAAAGCCGATAATCTAGGCCTAAAATTTAGAAAATTAAATTTGGGCTTTCTTGGCGTTCTAGTAAGTGGGTTCACACTACGAGAGGTAGGGTTTTCCCTATTTAGATTTAATTTCAACTTAAAATATGACATATGAAATAAATAGACTATGGGTGTATATCACATGGTAGGTCTTGACAAGTGTGACTAGTGGGTCAAATATAGGATTTATAATTAACCTTGCGATTAATAAAATTTTATTGTGATTAACTTGGTGTAAGTTAATGTTAGTGGTTTAAATCATGTTAATTGTATATTAACATTATTTTATATTTTAATGGCAGATCAAGTTTAATAAAAGTATTAACTTGTTATGTGATTATGAAATAATATGTATGTTAAAGGATTATTTAACATATAATTATTTTGGTAGACTTGTGCTTATGTTTATATAATTAATAAACATGTTGTCATGTTACAAGTCATAGCATGCTAGTTGTGTAAATTGATGTGCTCTTTAGGTGTTTGATTAAATGCCTAAGTGAATACAAGTATGTTAGTTGAGTTGATTATCTTACATAACATGCTTGAGATCATGTTAAAATGTCATTATATTGTATTCATTATGTAATGGACATTGTATTGCATTATGCATGAGTTGCACTACATTCATGGGCATTAACATGGGTGGGAGTACATGCATGGTATGAAATCAATCATCACATAGGTGGTCGATCGTGGGCTCGGAAAAGTCACACCAAGGTTCGACTGAGTCGCACGAGAAACTTAAATGAATAAATGTGTTGGCGACAGCAAGAAGGGCTAGATTCTCCCTCGGGTGCAAGACCGGCTTACTTGGTTTATACACTTTCCGGCGGTAAAATTTCAGAAAAGTGTAACGGCGAAAACGGAGCCGTAGGTGGGATGTCCTGAAGATCCGTTGATGGTTGGTGTCTCATTGGTGTAATACCATAAATCACCTCTCCACACAAACAACAAGAAAATGAATTAATTAGTCATTGAGTGTACATAACACCAATGATGGGGGCTTGGAATGCCCGGATACATACGCATGACATTGCATGTGTTATGGGAGCTCAGGATGAGGCTCGGGGTTGTATTGCTTGCGTGAGTCTCATCTCATGACATGATATGATTTATGACATTCGATCATAATAGACATGTTTGAATGAATGTATCAAATGATTGATGCATGTGACATTCCATATGCATTTTGGTTGAGAGGTATTCTGTATATGAGTTATTCTATTGAGCGTTGTCTCACCCTTTATGGGAACATTTTTCAAGTATTGCACAGGTGTCCACCGAAGGCGAGGCCATGGGCCCACTTTGACAACAGAGCCGGTCTGTGGTTTTTATTTGGACATTGTAGTCCCTTGTTTATATTTACTTTTGATCTTGTATAATTTTTGTAACAAACATTTGTTTATATTCACAAAGGCATGTATATGAGACTCTTTTGAGACATTTATTCTTTTACGAATAAATGTATGTACTGATGATGATTATGGTAGTATTCGAGACTATACAATTGTGAATAGATGGATAGACCCGATGTGGTCAATATTGTACAGGTTATTTTTTTTGATAGAGCTTCTCGTACAAAAGAGACTTTGTCCAAATTTTGTTAAGTTATGGATCCCAAGAAATGAGGCATAACGGTGTGGTATCGAATTACATGATATCTACCAGTATTCCGCGGGTCGATGGATGATCAATCGGATAATTACAGACACCCGAATTTTGGGGTGTCACATAGGTAGTACGGATGAAAAATATTTTTTATCTCTAAAGGGAAGGAATATATTTTCTTGGGTGTAATTCGGGTGGATTGGGCGGGTTGGACAGTCAATCCTAATCCAACTCTAGGTATATAAACTTCAACCCTAACCCTAACCCTAACTCTACCTCGGGTTGATGCACTCAATCCAAGCACTAGCCGAATTTACTTCAAGCGGACCCGGGTAGAATTCGGATTAATGTTCTAAATCTAATACATATATTACATAATATTTAAATAATTTAACAATCAACAATTTCAATCAAATTTTTAATAGAAAAATCATAATATTAAGAACTCAATGCAATTACAATTATACAGAACACAAAGTCACAAACACTGCTACCAGTTTAATAGAAATAACAATGCTACTAGTTTAACCGAAATAATAATAATTCGGGTTGAACCCGATTTTAATATTTGGGTTCAACCTTAGGCCCATCCAAATTGAATTCGGGTTGAAATTTTTTGACTTAAACCCAACCCAAGTATTAAAAACCCTTACTCAAGCCCTAATTTTTTTGGGTTGGACAACCCGAGTTGCACCCCTAATATTTTCTCTTATTTATGTTTGGTATAATGGATAAAAAATTAAAGAGATGTATTTTCCCTTGTTTGGTATTGGATGGAAAAGAAATATATATATATACCAAATTTACCATTTTACCCTTACATCTAAGTGATGAATTTTTCTATAGTAATTATCATAGAAAATTTGGTAAAAGGGTTGAATTGCAAAACACATGAACGTCCTGTTCAACATACATTCCCTCAAATTAGATTCCAAGCTTGGATCCAATATCAAATTTTTTAATGAATCATGTTAGTGTGCATTTTTTAATTTTGTATTTAGTATTGTGTCGAAATTTATTTAGTTCAAAACAGATTTATTTATAGTCGTTTATAAAATTTAGTTGTGTTTAATTGGGTTATAATTGAAAAACTGGGTGTTTAATTGGGTTATAATTGACCCATTTGTCATGCTAATTTAGCAGGTCAACTCGTTTATGAAATGAACTTGTTAAAGACTTCACACATACATTATATAGTGTTTATTGATAGTCATGTTAAGATTTATTTTCAATCTTAATAAAGCTATGTGACCCACACGGCTAAGAAACTTGCATTTCACAGCTAGCATTTATATTGCATATGATAGTGACCAACAACCACCAACATTTTATCCACAAATCACCAGTATTAATTATTTAGTCTTGGGTGACCACATAATAGAATACAATAATAATCTACATATATGGATAAGGACAACTCCTTCAAACTTAAAAGTCATATGATACACTTCTCTCAATATTAGCAATGGTAGATCACCAATCAAGTATTGGTAATGGGAAAATATTATTGAAAGAAACTACCCTTGTAACCTACGATTGCACTGCATAATAGTTGAATAAGGTAGCTTCCTTTTATTAGTAAATTATAAAAGGTACATCAAATTAGACTTATTTGACAATCTATCAAGGCTTCAAAATTATACAAACTCAGAACCTAAAGAATGTGATCATGGAAACAAACTCCTGGAATGCCTTCAACCTAATATCTGCTAGGTTGGAGAAACTCCACCCCGAAAGGAATATCATTACAAATTGCAAGCATATAATGGGATTGACTAGCACTCCCATTATTCACACACTCAGGGAAAGAAATTTCTGCGCTGATAAAATGGAAAGCCTGGGAGAGCTGCAGCAGGATTCTTTTGTTATTTTTGATGTCCCACTGCCTGTGTTGGAGCAATTTCTTTTGAATGACCTGTCGTGTATATCTTTTGTAAGAGTGTTTAAATAACCCTGTTTTCTTTTCGTATGTACCCAAAAAAAAAAAAATGCGTCATTGGCGAAAGGAGGGGATTTTAAAGTTTTCCATTTGTTTGGGTTAGGTAGATTACCAACCTTAAATTTTGGCCCTTGACTTTTTGAATGACAAAACGACATCGCCTGGGACAGACGGCTGGTCAAGGACCAACTACGTGCCCGAAACGTACTGGTTCCCTTCTTCTACCGTCTCCCGTAAGTAACTTGACTTTCAAGTCACTTCACTCCACTTGACTTGACTTCCCTCCTCCTCCTTGTTGGTGGTGCTGTGATCTCTCTCTCAATAAACTCGAACCCTGTCGCCAATTTCTCTCAGCACTCACAAGAACCCAACAATGGCCTCCTTCCAAATCTTCTCTCTCCTAATCTTCACCTTCGTTCTCCTCATCACGCCAACCCTCTCTGAAATACTGCTTACCGAGATCCGATCCGACGACAGACCCATCATTCCCTTCGTCGAATATGAATTCACCCACTCCGGCCATCTCGACCTGGATGTCACCCAAATCCTCCTCGAAAACCCAACCCAAAACCCCAATCCCGACCTCTCCCAAATCGGGTTCTTCCTCTGCACTCGAGATTGGCTTCACTTCCTCGAACAGCTCCAAGAGGGCGAAATCCAATGCCCTCTCCAATCCAAATTCGTCAAACTCTTCTTCACTTTGGACAAACTCCAACCCTCAGGCGATCACTTCAGCACCACCGTCAATGTCACCGACGCCAATCAGTTCACTTTGGTCTTAGCCAATTGTATTCCAAACCTCAAGATTTCAATGAATGTTCAGTACTCTTCTATGTACAATGAAAACCCCCAAACTGATTATTTGTACGCCGTTAAAACGCCTCTCCTCCCCATTCTCGTCTTGTTTTTCTTGGTAAAACGTCTCTACCATTTTGTCGTCGATGGTTTGGAGAAGGAAGCTGCTGCTGAGCAACTCAAGCATGATGATGAAGTCGAATTGTGAGATTGCATTTTGGAGGTTGAAGAGAGAATAAGCAAGGCCAAGGTAGTAATAATCCAATACCAAACCCGTTTATGATTTAGATATCAATGCATGAACTCGTTAGCCATATTATATGCTGTGTAATTCCACTTACTCTGCTGTTGTATTATTTTCACACGTTTTGAACTGTGCTTTGGCAATATAGTATATTGTTGATTAGAAAAATGGAGATATGGGTAGTTGCTTGCTTCGAACTCAGGTGAATGGTTGTCTGCTTGATGATCTTACACTTGCTAGTTTTTTGTAAATTTAATAGTATCTTCAATTCAATAAAACGCATGTGTATGTTCTTACACTTGCTTCTCTTTGTCAATTTAAGAATTATATGTTATTCAGTAAAACATGTGCATGAGCAAATGCAAATAAACTTGTATTGTTCATTGGGACTTGGGGAGTATTCCAATAGCAAGATTTTGGAATATGAATGGTATGAAATATGCTTGTCTCTCTCTCTCTCTCTCTCTAGTGCGCGAGTGAATTTTTTACTGACCCTGTTTTCAGTGGTGGTAAAACTAATTTGGTATATAAAATAGGATAATGCAGTGTTAGAGTGATGTGTCTGGTTTTACTGACTTATGAGAGCATATGGTTTTTCAGATTTTGTGATACCTATTACCTTTGAAATCTCGGTGATACCCACCCCACCCCACCCCTTCATATTGTCTTTTAATCATCCTCTCATGATGTTCAATCTACCTTGTCGAAGAATATGGGTTGAAGCTGGAACATATAATAATAACTGAATTTGTTGTCTGATTAATGTTTCTTTTTCGTTTGTCATTTCTTCATTATGGTTTCTAATTTTTTTTTTGTTGATATTTATATGTAAGTGTGTTTTAAATTTACCTTTTTTTTTTATTACTGTGGAGATAAAAAAAAAAAATTAACAGGAATATGACATAGGATGGCAAGAAATTCATACAATTGACATTGATTGTAAAAAAAAAATTATAGTTTATTTTTAATCGGAAAAAATTATGGCACACATTGGTGGTGCTGTGGGGAAGTTGCGGTGGTGGTTGGAGTATGTGGGTGGTGGAGCAAATGGTTACCAGGTATCACGTAGGTGGGACTCGTGTCTCGATGTAAGTTTAGGAAACAACTTCACGCTTCGCCAAGAGGAGAGAGAGAGAGGGGGAGGGTAGTAGTTGTCTTTTTGCATGTGACCATGACACCATATTTTCCTCTACTAGTGTGTTTGGTTGTAAAATACGAAAAAAAAAAATTTATGATGATTATTATTATTATTAAAATTTCTAATAAAATAGGTAAAATAATAATTAATTGTTAAATTATGGGTCAAAAACATAAATTTTAAAAAAATAAATAAATTTATATTATACACACACACACACACACACACACACACACATATATATATATATATATATATATTTGTTTCTTCTGGAGAGACGGCGAGACAGAGTGTGAGAGAGAGAAAAGTGAGTGTTTTTTTTTCCCCTCTTTTTTCTTAGATTTATGAAGATTGAACCGTTTAATCGTTTCGGGCTAAGAATTAAAGTTGTTTTACTCAGCAAGAGTTACGCAACCACACAAAATATCGTATTTTTCTCTGAAAGAATATCAAAGCCGATAATCTAGGCCTAAAATTTAGAAAACTAAATTTGGGCTTTCTTGGCGTTCTAGTAAGTGGGTTCACGCTACGAGAGGTAGGGTTTTTCCTATTTAGATTTAATTTCAACTTAAAATATGACATATGAAATAAATAGACTATGGGTGTATATCACATGGTAGGTCTTGACAAGTGTGACTAGTGGATCAAATATAAGATTTATAATTAACCTTGCGATTAATAAAATTTTATTGTGATTAACTTGGTGTAAGTTAATGTTAGTGGTTTAAATCATGTTAATTGTATATTAACATTATTTTATATTTTAATGGCAGATCAAGTTTAATAAAAGTATTAACTTGTTATGTGATTATGAAATAATATGTATGTTAAAGGATTATTTAACATATAATTATTTTGGTAGACTTGTGCTTATGTTTATATAATTAATAAACATGTTGTCATGTTACAAGTCATAGCATGCTAGTTGTGTAAATTGATGTGCTCTTTAGGTGTTTGATTAAATGCCTAAGTGAATACAAGTATGTTAGTTGAGTTGATTATCTTACATAACATGCTTGAGATCATGTTAAAATGTCATTATATTGTATTCATTATGTAATGGACATTGTATTGCATTATGCATGAGTTGCACTACATTCATGGGCATTAACATGGGTGGGAGTACATGCATGGTATGAAATCAATCATCACATAGGTGGTCGATCGTGGGCTCGGAAAAGTCACACCAAGGTTCGACTGAGTCGCACGAGAAACTTAAATGAATAAATGTGTTGGCGACAGCAAGAAGGGCTAGATTCTCCCTCGGGTGCAAGACCGGCTTACTTGGTTTATACACTTTCCGGCGGTAAAATTTCAGAAAAGTGTAACGGCGAAAACGGAGCCGTAGGTGGGATGTCCTGAAGATCCGTTGATGGTTGGTGTCTCATTGGTGTAATACCATAAATCACCTCTCCACACAAACAACAAGAAAATGAATTAATTAGTCATTGAGTGTACATAACACCAATGATGGGGGCTTGGAATGCCCGGATACATACGCATGACATTGCATGTGTTATGGGAGCTCAGGATGAGGCTCGGGGTTGTATTGCTTGCGTGAGTCTCATCTCATGACATGATATGATTTATGACATTCGATCATAATAGACATGTTTGAATGAATGTATCAAATGATTGATGCATGTGACATTCCATATGCATTTTGGTTGAGAGGTATTCTGTATATGAGTTATTCTATTGAGCGTTGTCTCACCCTTTATGGGAACATTTTTCAAGTATTGCACAGGTGTCCACCGAAGGCGAGGCCATGGGCCCACTTTGACAACAGAGCCGGTCTGTGGTTTTTATTTGGACATTGTAGTCCCTTGTTTATATTTACTTTTGATCTTGTATAATTTTTGTAACAAACATTTGTTTATATTCACAAAGGCATGTATATGAGACTCTTTTGAGACATTTATTCTTTTACGAATAAATGTATGTACTGATGATGATTATGGTAGTATTCGAGACTATACAATTGTGAATAGATGGATAGACCCGATGTGGTCAATATTGTACAGGTTATTTTTTTTGATAGAGCTTCTCGTACAAAAGAGACTTTGTCCAAATTTTGTTAAGTTATGGATCCCAAGAAATGAGGCATAACGGTGTGGTATCGAATTACATGATATCTACCAGTATTCCGCGGGTCGATGGATGATCAATCGGATAATTACAGACACCCGAATTTTGGGGTGTCACATAGGTAGTACGGATGAAAAATATTTTTTATCTCTAAAGGGAAGGAATATATTTTCTTGGGTGTAATTCGGGTGGATTGGGCGGGTTGGACAGTCAATCCTAATCCAACTCTAGGTATATAAACTTCAACCCTAACCCTAACCCTAACTCTACCTCGGGTTGATGCACTCAATCCAAGCACTAGCCGAATTTACTTCAAGCGGACTCGGGTAGAATTCGGATTAATGTTCTAAATCTAATACATATATTACATAATNTATATGCATGGTATGAAATCAATCACCACACAGGTGGTTGATCGTGGGCTCGGAAAAGTCACACCAAGGTTCGACTAAGTTGAACGAGAAACTTAAATGAATAAATGTGTTGGCGACAGCAAGAAGGGCTAGATTCTCCCTCGAGTGCAAGACTGGCTTACTTGGTTTATACACTTTCCGGCGGTAAAATTTCAGAAAAGTGTAACGGCGAAAATGGAGCCGTAGGTGGGATGTCCTGAAGATCCATTGATGGTTGGTGTCTCATTGGTGTAATACCATAAATCACCTCCCCACACAAACAACAAGAAAATGAATTAATTAGCCATTGAGTGTACATAACACCAATGATGGGGGCTTGGAATGCCCGGATACATACGCATGACATTGCATGTGTTATGGGAGCTCAGGATGGAGCTCGGGGTTGTATTGCTTGCGTGAGTCTCATCTCATGACATGATATGATTTATGACATTCGATCATAATAGACATGTTTGAATGAATGTATCAAATGATTGATGCATGTGACATTCCATATGCATTTTGGTTGAGAGGTATTCTGTATATGAGTTATCCTATTGAGCGTTGTCTCACCCTTTATGAGAACATTTTTCAAGTATTGCATAGGTGTCCACCGAAGGCGAGGCCATGGGCCCACTTTGACAACAGAGCCGGTCTGTGGCTTTTATTTGGACATTGTAGTCCCTTGTTTATATTTACTTTTGGCCTTGTATAATTTTTGTAACAAACATTTGTTTATATTCACAAAGGCATGTATATGAGACTCTTTTGAGACATTTATTCTTTTACGAATAAATGTATGTACTGATGATGATTATGGTAGTATTCGAGACTATACAATTGTGAATAGATGGATAGACCCGATGTGGTCAATATTGTACAGGTTATTTTTTTTGATAGAGCTTCTCGTACNACACAATTGTAAATAGATAGATAGACCCGATGTGGTCAATATTGTACAGGTTATTTTTTTTGGTAGAGCTTCTCGTACAAAGGAGACTTTGTCCAAATTTTGTTAAGTTATGGATCCCAAGAAATGAGGCATAACGGTGTGGTATCGAATTACATGATATCTACCAGTATTCCGCGGGTCGATGGATGATCAATCAGATAATTACATACACCCGAATTTTGGGGGTGTTACATAGGTAGTACGGATGAAAAATATTTTTTATCTCTAAAGGGAAGGAATATATTTTCTTGGGTGTAATTCGGGTGGATTGGGCGGGTTGGACAGTCAATCCTAATCCAACTCTAGGTATATAAACTTCAACCCTAACCCTAACCCTAACTCTACCTCGGGTTGATGCACTCAATCCAAGCACTAGCCGAATTTACTTCAAGCGGACCCGGGTAGAATTCGGATTAATNCACTAATCCTAACTCTACCTCGGTTGATGCACTCAATCCAAAGCACTAGCCGAATTTAATTCAAACGGACTCGGGTAGAATTCGGATTAATGTTCTAAATCTAATACATATATTACATAATATTTAAATAATTTAACAATCAACAATTTCAATCAAATTTTTAATATAAAAATCATAATATTAAGAACTCAATGCAATTACAATTATACAGAACACAAAGTCACAAACACTGCTACCAGTTTAATAGAAATAACAATGCTACTAGTTTAACCGAAATAATAGTAATTCGGGTTGAACCCGATTTTAATATTTGGGTTCAACCTTAGGCCCATCCAAATTGAATTCGGGTTGAAATTTTTTGACTTAAACCCAACCCAAGTATTAAAAACCCTTACTCAAGCCCTAATTTTTTTGGGTTGGACAACCCGAGTTGCACCCCTAATATTTTCTCTTATTTATGTTTGGTATAATGGATAAAAAATTAAAGAGATGTATTTTCCCTTGTTTGGTATTGGATGGAAAAGAAATATATATATATACCAAATTTACCATTTTACCCTTACATCTAAGTGATGAATTTTTCTATAGTAATTATCATAGAAAATTTGGTAAAAGGGTTGAATTGCAAAACACATGAACGTCCTGTTCAACATACATTCCCTCAAATTAGATTCCAAGCTTGGATCCAATATCAAATTTTTTAATGAATCATGTTAGTGTGCATTTTTTTAATTTTGTATTTAGTATTGTGTCGAAATTTATTTAGTTCAAAACAGATTTATTTATAGTCGTTTATAAAATTTAGTTGTGTTTAATTGGGTTATAATTGAAAAACTGGGTGTTTAATTGGGTTATAATTGACCCATTTGTCATGCTAATTTAGCAGGTCAACTGGTTTATGAAATGAACTTGTTAAAGACTTCACACATACATTATATAGTGTTTATTGATAGTCATGTTAAGATTTATTTTCAATCTTAATAAAGCTATGTGACCCACACGGCTAAGAAACTTGCATTTCACAGCTAGCATTTATATTGCATATGATAGTGACCAACAACCACCAACATTTTATCCACAAATCACCAGTATTAATTATTTAGTCTTGGGTGACCACATAATAGAATACAATAATAATCTACATATATGGATAAGGACAACTCCTTCAAATTTAAAAGTCATATGATACACTTCTCTCAATATTAGCAATGGTAGATCACCAATCAAGTATTGGTAATGGGAAAATATTATTGAAAGAAACTACCCTTGTAACCTACGATTGCACTGCATAATAGTTGAATTAGGTAGCTTCCTTTTATTAGTAA